AAACACTGGGCCGAAGGCTGAATACCGAATTCCGATCACGGTTTTTCGAGTTTTTTTCCTCATGTATTTTGCCAATTTTTTTTTTCACCATTGCATAAATTAAATAGCCAAAATGTGCTTGCTTTTTACTTGTCTGGTTTTTCAAAGAAAAAATCAATTACAAAACAACAATTTAAAAATATTTAACACTAAACTTTTTTTAACATTCTAGCAGACATTATACCAACAAAGCACAATTTAACTTAAAATTAATAAGTTACTAAAATAATATTTTTTGCCGATCAGACCCCCCTTGAATCAGGCATGTATTTTTACTGTAAAATTAAAAGCAGCCTTGCTGAGCAGAAGAGACTTCTTTTAAAACATTAGAAAATATTACAGATCCTAATTTGAACACTGTGTATGTTATAATACATGTATTAACTTAGCTGTTGTAATTATTATTATTATGATTATTATTGTCTTACTTTTTATTTTATTTTACAGAATTGGCGGAAACGCGCAGAAAGACCTCAATGCTTCTTTTTGTTGACGAATACGTCGCACGTTTCGCATTGTCACATGCCTTGTAAAAAATTCATAAAAATGCAACTGACGAGTAACACTGTTTCAGCGCAGATTTTCCTCGCGCTTTGAACGCTGGTTAACAAGCAGGTAGCGCTGTCAGAATACATGCAATGCGCACATGTATTAGAAAACATAACGTTCTGCAGTTTATTTACTAATTGTTTAAGGCCATTTCCCGATTTCATTCATCATACAGTAACCAGCAACAATCACCCCGTCCTCTTCTCATTGAAGACATGCGATGCAGTACTAAACAGTCTCTCGCTGTCGCTGCTTGTCATTATTTTTGCGTCTTTCTCCGACAGTTTAAATGCTTCCACACTGCTGACATGTTTGTTGCATAATAAAGAGTGCGCGCCTCTCACTTTACACCGGTTGCTATTTGATAGCGTCACGTGACTCACGTCATTGTTCGGTACAATTTATTCGTTTTTTCCGCTCATTTTTCATTTATCACGTAAGGAGAAGCTGACAAGAAGAGTGTGTGAGACAGACAAGAGTTTCAAAACGACATGCAAAAGCGCCTGTTTTAAAAGTATTTTGGATTTTGAAAAGCCTGTTGACTTCTGCCATTTATCTAAGGTGATACTGGAAGTTTTTTTTAAACATTCGTTTATTATTTATTTGGTTCCACAGTGTTTGCTGATTTTTATTTGTTTAAACGGTGTAATTTTTATTTTTTTATTACATCAAGTATGCCGTGTCTCCCAGCTTTCTTATTCGTTTTGCTAATAAACGTACGTTTCTTATTTGGTTCCACAGTGTTTACTGATCTTCAGTTTTGTATACCTAAACTTTGTGCAGGTTATTTGTTATTTTATATTAGGCATATAGCATGGTGTAGTTTTTATTTGTTTTGTTAATAAAAGTTCTACGTTGTATTTTGTTGTTTGAATTAAATTCAAGCAATTGACGCTAATTTGAAAGTGAAAGTAAAATGTGCACGGCGCTTTTACAAGCTATTTAAAATGGAAGGAAAGCAAGGAACCCCCACCCCCCCCCTCCCCCCACAGTGATACCGGTGGGAAAATTTCCTCACTGTCACAACCCTAATACATACAAAAAAAATATATATATAGCATGTAATGTGTATATGGGCACCACAATATAAATAATTTTTTGCGCTTATGTGTTTAATTTGCTCGGTCACTCACTATTGAATCCTAATTCATAATCTCCTATTTTCAGGCACGATATTTGCCTACGGACAGACATCTTCCGGAAAGACCTTCACCATGATGGGAAGTGAGCGTAACGCTGGGGTGATTCCTCTCGCCATGGCTGACGTCTTCAAAACCATTAAAAATGTAAGCGTTTGTGAATCTTCCTGGCGTCAACTCGAGACAAAACGTCTTCACTTCTATGGCGCAACAGTTCAGATCTGAGATCTTCCTCCAGAGGAACCACTTTACAGTGAATAACAGATTATATGTGACCCTGGAGCACAAAAGCAGTGTTAAGTCGCTGGGGTATATTTGTAGCAATAGCCAACAATACATTGTATGGGTCAAAATTATACATTTCTCTTTTATGCCAAATGACCCTTATGACTGGTTTTGTGCTCCAGGGTCACACATTTCAGTCTTTTCTCCTCACAAATGATTAAAGGAATCGTTCACCTGAAAATGTGTTGCAAAGTTATTCCTCTAGTTAATCAAAGTCTTTTTCATTCTATATCAGCAAAAAAAACCATAGTTTTATTTCTTTGCGTCTATCTAGTGTCCAAAGAAAGAGTTTCTCCTGCGTGTGAGCTACATGGAAATCTACAACGAAACGGTCACAGATTTGCTCTGCGAAAGCTGGAAAAGGAAACCTCTGGAAATTCGGGAAGGAAACTACGTAAGTTGTTTGTCTTTTATTGTACTCTCACTGCGAATATGAGTTTCAGCGCTGCATGTGTCCACAGAAAAACGTGTACGTGGCTGATCTGACGGAGGAGCTGGTGACGTCTCCGGAGCAAGCCCTGTCCTGGATCACCAAAGGAGAAAGTAAAGCTGCACTGATTGCGTCACTCACTCATCCTTAATTCTGTAATACTTGTTTGCTCATTACTTTATTCATACAGAAAACCGACATTATGGAAAAACAAAAATGAACCAGCGTAGCAGCCGCTCCCACACCATCTTTCGCATGGTAAGAAGCGCGCGTGATGAACTGAAGTGTGTTTGCTGTCTGATTTAAGGTTCATCTCTGAAGCGTCTCGTTTATTGTGTCCGTGTCAGATCTTGGAGAGCCGTGAGAGAAGTGACCCGGCGTCTGGTGAAAACGCTGATGGAGCCATCATAGTGTCACACCTGGTGAGCTCAAGACAAACCAGGAACTGTCTGTGATTTCATTCACCAATGCCATTTAGTTCAGATAAGCAGCGGTTGTGTTTAGTCAGTTGTTTGTTTCCTGTTCCTGTAGAACTTGGTGGATCTCGCTGGTGCTGAGAGGGCGAGTCAAACGGGAGCTGAGGGTAATGTTTTGTGTTACTGCTATTCATTCTTTTAGCCTGTTGCTTGTTTAATACTTAAGCTCTTGAGTTTTTTTTTACTATTTAATTAGTTAATTTATCATATGTGACCCTGCAGCACAAAAGCAGTGTTAAGTCGCTGGGGTATATTTGTAGCAATAGCGAACAATACATTGTATGGGTCAAAATTATCGATTTTTCTTGTATGCCAAAAATCATTAGGATATTAAGTAAAGATCATGTTCCATGAAGATATTTTGTAAATTTCCTACCGTAAATATATCAACTTAATTTTTGATTAGTAATATGCATTGCTAAGAACTTCATTTGGACAACTTTAAAGATGATTTTCTCAATATTTAGATTTTTTTGAAGAATGAGAAATTGACCCTTATGACTGGTTTTGTGCTCCAGGGTCACATTTAAAAATGGTTTCCTCACTCTTGAGTGGTTAAACTTCATTCGATGAGTCTAAGTGGTCATTAAAAAAAAAAGTCACTTTGACCGACCAATTTTTTTTTTTTATGTGTTCAGTTAAATCTGTATATTACTCACAATAGTGAACAAACACACAAAAATGGAATGAGACAATAAAACATCCAAAGTGCAAAAGATTCATTTAGACAGTGAAATTGAGTCGATTGCTGTAAGCATTATTGCAAAAAATTATACTTTATAATAATGAAAAAATATATATAAACCTTGATAATGTCTAAAATATCTGAATGTTTATTTTCTAAGCATAAAATCTAGAATTCTTTCTTAGCAAGTAGCTGGTACTTACAGTCTAAAATGACAGAGGTGCTTTTATCTTTTTGGTGTTTGAACCTCTCTTGTTCCTCTCTTTCAGGAGCCCGCTTTAAAGAAGGGTGCAACATAAACCGCAGTTTGTTCACACTGGGTCAAGTCATTAAGAAATTATCTGATGAGAGTCAGAAGTGAGTTATTTCATGACTTGCAGTAGGAAGTTTTACCGTTACTGAATCAGTTTTTGCTCTAACTGTAACAAACGTGTTGTTTCTGTTCCATCCGAAAGGGGCTTCTTGAATTACAGAGACAGTAAACTCACCCGAATCCTTCAGAACTCTTTGGGTGGCAATGCCAAGACTGTCATTATTTGCACCATCACCCCAGCCACTGTCGACGAGACCGTCAGCACTTTACAGGTACGAGAGAAGACCCTTCGTTACCGATCTGGAGCGATATGGGTAGATGTGTTGAATTGGTGTTTTTACTGTGGTTAAAGTTCGCTAGTGCTGCGAAGCGCATGAAGAACGACCCTCACGTCACGGAGGTCTCTGATGAAGGGGCTCTCTTGAGAAGATACCGCAATGAGATCGTCGATCTCAAACGACGTTTGCAGGAGGTGAGGATGTGATTCAGTTCAGGGCTGTCACGATTCAGTTCGAGTACTCTATTTTAAAAACGAGAATCCATGAAACGCATTATTAGACTGTAGGGATGTAACGATTAACCGCGAGCCGGTTGAAAATCGATTTAAATGTGACTATTCAAATCGGTTGAGATGCTAAACAAATCGCGATTCAGTTAGGGGTAGGAGTTTATATGAATGCATGTCTGAGGGGAACTTACTGTCTTTAATTTTTTCTTTTCCTTTTGCCTCTGTATAATGCATATTAATGTTCATAAGTGCAACTCTGCTTTGTTTACAGCGGTAACCAAGGAAACACTGTATCATTGCTGTTCATAAGCGCAGCTCTGCTTTGTTTACAGCGGTAACCAAGGAAACACTGTATCATTGCTGTTCATAAGCGCAGCTCTGCTTTGTTTACAGCGGTAACCAAGGAAACACTGTATCATTGCTGTTCATAAGCGCAGCGCTGCTTTGTTTACAGCGGTAACCAAGGAAACACTGTATCATTGCTGTTCATAAGCGCAGCGCTGCTTTGTTTACAGCTGTAACCAAGGAAACACTGTATCATTGCTGTTCAAAAGCGCAGCTCTGCTTTGTTTACAGCGGTAACCAAGGAAACACTGTATCACTGCTGTTCATAAGCTGCTTTGTTGCTTTTAATTTATAATTTGTCTTAAATCTCATTTTGTACAAAAAAAAAATCATGAATCGTGAGTTGAGTGAATCGTTACATCCCTATTAGACCGTTTTCCAAGGTTGCATGATATATTAAACCCATTTAAATATTATAAAGCATAATGCTATTGTGAATTCACAAGCGCTGTGATTCAATTAAATATATGCGATGCAGGTTTAATATGTGCTTTAATTATTTACATGCGTGTCGGTTACGTGCGTGTCACAGCAACTCCGTTCACAGTAAACGCTGCTCCGCACAAACATTTCATTTACAGTTGTGTGGAGTGTCTCAAACTCCACAAAGTTTGGGTTTATTATGACGTTCATCTGGGAACGCAACGTGCGCCATTTCATCAGATTTATTAAGAAAATCATTTACAAACCTACAGGAGAATACATCAATATCTTTCTCAATTTGCTAACCGTTCATCGCCATTTCAAAATAAAAGCTCAAACCCTTGCTCTTGAGTTTACACGTTTTGATGTCCACATGTTCAAGAAATTACAGCGGCTGTAGCATTTCTGTCGTAAAGAAATGGCCAAATGTTAAAGATTAAGTGGACATGTGAATTAAATGTTGTTTAGTCGATATTACGGATTAGATCTCGCAGTAAAGTGTAAAACAAACATCAGACCGTTGGCGCCCTCTGCAGTCAATTGTTATAGTGTGTAATGTACATTATAATGTATTTTAACAGTTTTGTTCAATAAAACCATATGATTACTTGCTTTGTGAACTAATTATTATTGCAATTATATATGCATTTTAAATAATTTTAAAGGCTATTGTTCACTTAGGTCTATTTTATTACGAAAAAAAAAAATATATATAATCCAGTTACTCAACTGATTACTCGAATCAACCGATTACCAGAATAATGGTTAGTGACAGCCCTAGTTCTCGTCCAGTATTAACATGACCCATCATCTTCTGACTTGATTGTTTTCCGTCTCGTTTCCCAGGTTTCCTCCGTCACACAAACGACTGCGACCGAGCGAGAGTCTCTGTGTCAGATTCTGCAGGAGAAAGACCAGCTCCAGAGAGAGCAGGAGGACAGGATCAAGAACTTAACCAAGCTACTTGTTACTGCCTCAAACGTCGCCCTAGTCCCTAAGGTGACAGATTTCACTAGATTTAACAACGTAAACCTCTGTGCTGGTGAAGATCTGATTGTTGCATTTAAATGTGAAGGTTCCCAAGAGGAGAGTGACGTGGGGAGGGAAACTGCTGAGATCTGCTCATCTCGTGAATGAAGATCTCGCCTCGACGGACATGAGCTTTGCAGAGCCGTACATCAAAAAGAGAAGAGCTGATTATTCTCTGCCTGAAGAGGGAGAGGGTATGACTATCTTATCATTGGAGACAATTAGCTTTACATGAAAATTATACTGCATTAGCTGTGAAAACGAGCCTGTAAACATGGTCAGTGTTACACCAGATAAATGTAATGTAATGTTTTGTGTCCAGATATGGATGAGTTTGACAGTCGGTTTGACTTCACTGCTCTGGACGAACCCGACATGGAGATGAGCACCATCGCTGTCCGCAGCTCCTCTGAAGGGTGAGGACTCTCACTACTGTCTTAGAACCGCTTTTACTAGGGATTAGATAAAGCAGAAGAAACACAGAAGCTGCGTCTGAAGTGGCATTTAGATGTATTTACACACTGTTTAATGCAGGACAAGAATGCATTTAACCTGCAGTTACAAATGCATAAATAATATTTTGATATATTAAACACAAAACGTTGAATACTGATATTTGAAATTATTTAAATAAAAAGATACTTTAAATGTGAAATCAAAACCGCCAGTAGGTGGCAGCAAGTCACTGTTAATAAGGGAGTCATTTGCGATTGAACCGAATCATTTAAACGGTTGATTCATTCAGGAACGAAACGCGTCATATTGCTCAGAGACACGAAACAGTGCTGTTCCATGTTCACGACTGCACCGGGATTCCCTCTGCATCACGGAAATCATACGACATTAACTCATAACTTGTTATAAATGCGACATACCTTTATTTGCACGGAGGGATGGTGTCCGCGAAGATGTTGTCCATTTCACAGCATTGCTCACAAATTCATATTTCTTTTTTTTGTTTGTTTTGTTTTCTCCTCTCTCTGTTCAGGAGTCATTTCCTAGATTCTCCCCGAGCGAGCGAGCTGATGTTGAAGGTGTCGTCTCTAGAGCGTCAGCTGGAGGCAGAGACTCAGAGCAAACAGAGAGCAGAGGAGATGAGCGCTGAACTCCAGCTGGAGATCTCTGAACTGCAGAAGAAGCTGGAAGCTCAAGCTGCACCATCAGAGGAGGAGAAGACCGTGTCTGAGCTGGAGGCGCTGCAGAGTCGACTACAGACGGAGGTTCAGGAGAGACAGAAGGCTGAGGAGAAAAGCTCCTCACTGGAACTGAAGGTGGCAGAGCTGGAGAAACCTTCAGAAGCTCTCCTGCGCTGTGAGATGTGTGAACAGGTACAACAGCTGCTGTACAGTCAACTCCTGCCTTATATTTGAGGTGGATTTTAAACTATGGGCATTGATGGGGTTTTAAAACTTTTCTTTCTGCTGACCATAATTGTTGATTAAAAATTGTGTTGTTTGTTCAGCTGAGAAAAGATCTGGAAGAGACCATTCAGCTCTGTGAGACTGTTGTATTTGAGAAAGTGAGTAAACGACATCCTTTATTTTTCTTTGGCTTGTTTTTCCATTTGAAAAATGCTTCACGTTATAGTAGTATAATGGGTTTTGAATTGGGGTTGCAAAAAGGTGGAAAATTTCCAGTAAATTTTGGAAACATTCCAGGGATTTTTGGAAAGTTTCCGGAAACTTACTAGAGATTTTCCACCCCTTTGCAACCGTATTTTGAGTGCCATTTTTTGAATTATTTTGTAAAGGATGCCATCATTGCTGAGCGAGACCTGATCAAACACTCGCTGCAGCTGGTAAACGAAGATCTGGAGAGTCTGAAGGCAGAGAAAGACTCTCTTCAGAAAGATAAAGACGCTCTGCAGAAGGACATCGACGAGAGGAAAGATGCAGATGAGTTTGAGAAACTGGAGCAGGAGAGCAAGAGAGAGTATGAGGTGATCAGAGCTTTATCGTGTGTGCAAAGTGCAGTTTAACACATGCAAGACTATTAATTACTTGTTTTCTTGCTTCCACTGATAATCCGTGTCTGACAGCTCATAATAAGCTGTTTTAATTCTGTTCTCTCCACACAGAGAGAGTTGGAGTCTGAAAACTCCAAACTGCAGCAGGAGTTAAAACAGTCGGAAGACATGATCCAAAAGCTGCAGGTCCGTTAACTTTGTCATGTAGCTGCTCTTAAAGCCCAGACTTGTGTAAATGTGAGATGATCTCACTGTCGTTCTCCATAGGCTGAGCTGGCGACGATTTCATCGGAGCTTCAGAAGAAGACAGACCTGACCACTGAGCTGCAGAGTTTTGTACGTTACTGGTTGTGTAATGTGGGATTTCAGTGTCTGATGCTGGTACCTGGAGAGAATGTTTGGCAATGGGAACTTATTTATGCAATATTTATCATTTGCTCAAGACACAAGGGGAGCTCACGCTTGTAAACCAGTCGTTTAGATGTGGATCTATATGTGTCCCTGCAGCACAAAAGCAGTGTTAAGTCGCTGGGGTATATTTGTAGCAATAGCCAACAATACATTGTATGGGTCAAAATGATCAATTTCTCTTTTATGCCAAAAATCATTAGGATATTAAGTAAAGATCATGTTCCATGAAGATATTTTGTAAATGTCCTACCGTAAATATATCAAAACTTAATGTTTGATTAGTAATATGCATTGCTAAAAACTTCATTTGGACAACTTTAAAGATGATTTTCTCAATATTTAGATTTTTTTGCACACAGTACTCACACATATATTATGTGATTGATATATTATTGTGGATGTGATTAATCGTGATTGATCGATTCGACAGAACTAATATATATGTATTAAATATCAAAGATTAATCTTCAGCAGCCAATACTCTTGTCTTCAATGTCAAAACAGTGTCAGAACTCCCTTATATTGTTGTGGAAACCATGGTACTTTGTTTCTTTCTTTTTTTTAGGATTGTTTGATGACCAGAAACTTAAATATTAAATTTACATGTGAATATACAAAAGCACAAATTTAAAAGATCAGCCTTAACATTTTTGTTTTGAAAAACTGACTTATAAAATCAATATATTTTCTGCCAACAACTCTGTTAAATTTTATCAGCTTAGTTAAAGAGCATATGAAATGGCTTGACAAGTGCAGTTTTCGCGTTGATGTATTTCAGTGAAATAGGAAAATATAGGGTTCATCCACATGATTTGCTATTCGCTAGTCGGTTGCACAGGGAGAGACCAAAATCTATGTAGAACAGGATGAGTCATCAATATTTTTAGCTAATTTTCCTGGAATAGAAAGACTGTAAATTTTAATTGTGCATATCTGCTAAAAGGGAATTTTTAGTTCACACACATGGGCTAAAGCCATAAAGCTCTCATTTTGATTTTGTGCGATCTTTGAGGACATATATTTGAAGCGGCTGTAGGTTAATGTGAAGGGAGAGAACAGGGTGACAGCCCAATCTTATTTCAGATGAACATTAAGCTCTAAGGGCCTCCAGTGTTATTAAAAATGACAATGAAAGTTCCTTTCAATGTGCCATTAAGATCGGAGTGACACTAATGCACCATTCAGATGTTCTCTATGTGTGCAGGGGGTCTTACCTCTGTGTCTGAGAGGAGGAACTCCATTTTCCACACTGTCAGTTCATTTGTTGAGACCACATTTAGAGCCGGCCTCACTCGCACACGGGGCCACCGTTCAACGTAGCGCTCGTTCTAATCAACGTGCTTTTGAGAGCCCAACTGTTTTCATTGTTTGCTTCAGTATTCCAAGTTTAGTTCGTCATTATGTCCATTCGTTGTTTGGCAGTGATCTTGAGGGAAAGTCTCTTCATTAAAGACTCTTTTCAGTGGTTTTGGGAGCTACTGCCATCAATCACTTCTCGGCAGGGGGCCTCGGTTTGGGTCCCATTGCACTCTTTGTGAAGTAAGCGTGTCATCCTCAATGTCACTCAGCGCAAAACAAACAAACACACACAAACTCTAAAAAACCCACAGATCTCAGAGCAGAGAATACGCTCCCTTTATTCACCCACACAGACAATCAGATGCTGTGTTTCAGCAGGGTTGAGTCATAAATGATAATACTCAGTGCACTATTGGCAGTTTGGGAATACCTGGACTATGAAATGAGCATTGAAATGAGTACTAAACTGATGCATATTATCATATTCATAGTTTTGTTGTGTTTTATATGCAAATACTTTGTTGTGGTTTGAAGCCATAGGGGATCTTAACACTCAGGCCAACACTGCAATTCATTTTCTTTAATCAGTGTATTTTTTTTGTCTTGTTTTTTTAATAAATATATCTGTGCTGGTACTATATCAGCACATATATCAAACTTGTTTACTAGCTTAACCAGCACATATTACATTTTAAAAATATTTTGCCAGTAAAAATATGAGCCACAATGAAAACAGAACATTCCCAGGGGTATGATACATTGCATCCGATTATAGTTAATTTATTTATGGCTTATATTGGTTCATATTTCACATTCTATCTACATAAGTATCATTCCAATGTTTGGGGTTGGTAAGATTTTTAGTTTTCGAAGATTTTGAAGTTTTCAAAGTACATCCTATGCTCACCAAGGCTACATTTATTTGCACAAAAATGCAGTAAAAACAGTAATGTTATGCAATATTATTGCAGTTTAATCATAAACTTATTTGTTTTTATATATTTTTCAAATTGTAATTTATTTCTGTGATGACAGAGCTGAATTTTCAGCAGCCATTACTCCAGTCTTTAGTGTCACGTGATCATTCAGAAAACATTATGATACACTGACTTGGTGCTCAAGAAACTTTTTTTTTTTTTTGTCAATACCGTTTGTTTCCCACATAATGCCCCT